ACTACGCGTAATGCAAGTTCATAAGTACAGTAAAGGATTAGCAGTCTCGCTTTGCACTTTAAAGGTACATGTTTCAAAGCCCAGTGGAGAACGGGGTAAGGACAAATCTCTGAAGAAAGAAATTCACTCCATCGCGTTTAGTGCAATCAGCCAAGAAATGGCTAGCAAGTCTTTGACTTGTAAACAACAGGCCAGTATTTTGATATCATGCCAGGTGCTAAAACTACGGTCATATTATCTTGCGCGTACGCCTGATGGTTGCACTTCGCTTTGTCCCACCAAATAGTTAAGTAAATCAGAAAATGTGATCAGCAACTAAAAATGCGTGTGCTCAAGTGATCACATCACCTTACATAAGTAGAACCTCTCTTGTTTGTAATTCCCCCTGTGGTCGCAATTTGTCTACACATTCGCTATAAGGTATCGTTACTGTACTGTAGAAAGAAATGCGTCTCTCTGAAGGCAGAGCTACGAAAAGCTCGCCGACGCTAACAAATCGTTTATACTTAAACAGTGTCCTCCATATTTTTCTTAATCGCCACATCTACCCCATCTCTACATATCGGTGCAAGAAAGTGAACAGACTTATTCTTTACGTTGTCCTGCCATTTAGCTCTCGCTATGCATCGAAACCAACAGTGCTGAACGCAGCTCAACCGTAGTTTTTGGCCCTTCGCTAAAACAACTGTTTCCATGACACACAACAACAATTATCTGACCAAACGAAGCAATTAGCAAGTGAATTTTCGTGGAAAGGGCTACTCCTTCCTCGGCCCGTACAACTGAGTGGTCGGAAAAAGCGCTGGTAATCTTCCTATCTAACTCTGATTAGACAGGGTTATTTCGAATGGTATAAAAGTTTTAATGACACGATGTACAAATTTCGAATCGATTCCGGCTTGATCTCCTTTACAATTCCAAAACAACAAACGAATTGTGGAAACCTTTCTTTATGGAGCTTACTATGCAATATTGATACTCGCTTCGACACTGTCATCCAGGAATGACCCACTGACTAATTTTAAGAAGGTAATGCCTGCAGCCATTCCGTCAGGCCACTGAGCATACAATCCTTTATTTCATGAGGCATTAAAACCGACTTAAAACCAACAAATACACTAAATGAATTAGGAAGTCGCGAAGATTTAATTGAACAATTGCAAAAGAATTATTTTTATAAAACGTGCATGCAGGAAACATCTTCAAACAATCCCACTTCTGTTCAATCTGCTTTCTCACGGTTAGCAATTTTCGTTAAAATCACGGTCGTTATCAAGCCCAGTGAATAACCTTTACCTTAATCGTCTCGTCTTATTGAAGTAATCACAACTGAGTGGCGGTTGATATCAGCTCGGGAGTTGACAGCAATAAACAGATTATGACAAAACATCGGTGCCTTCAGATGCTAATTAAGTTCATGCACTCTTCATCACTTAGACATGAGTTCATCTGAAGAAACAGTCCTTTTATATTTCTTTGTTATGAGTGGTCTGTACCGTATAACCCTTCTATTCATGGCATGCTAATCAGATGGCTCGTGGCAACTTCATGTTGGACAGTTGTATAGCTGATTTCACATTCAGTTTTGATAAGTTCATGATTCTTTGTTTGAGCTTGTGTTCTTCCGTTTTTTAACTTCTTTCTTTAGTCTCTCTTAATACTTACTCAATTGCTGGATATCAAATAGGGAAGCTATACTTCCTGCGAGGCACATAAACCTTTTATTCGACTTGTTCAATTTCACTCCCTCCTTACATGTAAAATATCTATTTAATAGTTAACATAACAATGATCTCTACAAGCAAATGAATCAGTGGTATGTACCTTTCACCTTCGATCGACAGGAATAGGCGCCGTGTTCCGTGGAACCGCATTTGAAGCAGATACCAGAGGAGATGGCGGGGTCATCTGCGCTTTTGGGGCACTCAGACATTCGGTGACCTGGCTGCCGACAGCTGAAGCAAACCTAAAGAGTGATGATAAAT